AATATGCTCTAGGTGACCCTGCTTGAGCAGGGGGGTTGGACTAGATGATCTCCAGAGGTCCCTTCCAACCTAAACAATTCTGTGATTCTGTGATAAACATACCAAAAATTAACTTTAGGGTAAAATCAATCAAGCCCATGAGATTAAGGAGTGTCAGAACTGAGGTTTCTACTTTGACCTTAACATCTGTATTGCAAGGGTTTAGTGTTCTGTATATATGGCAACTATATAATTATATACCCAGTATGCAGTGATACTGTAGAAGCTTTTAAGATTTGTGATAGAGCATTATACCTACCTTAGTTCTAGCTGGAGAGAATAGAGAACGCTAACTCTGTGTATGCTGTTAAGAAGCACTTATCTATCCCTTTAAATGTTTTTTCTTAAACTTCCCTGGATATGAGTCTTAGGTACTATGCTTTTACATGTTAGGTAGCTCTAATTTCTGATAAAAGTACCACCTTCACATTAAAGAATCTTGATTTAGATGCCTGCTATGAGGATGCCAAATGGTTGCATTACAACTCAGTATATAGGAGGTCTTAGATTAAAAGAAACAAACAAAAAAACCCAAAGATGTTCTCTTGAATTTCCACTGCAAATGATAAGTTCTGAGAAGGCATTTGGCAGATAATAACTTTTATTAAAACTGGTGACATCTAGCCCCAAGGGTGTAGTCAGGCTCAAATTGATGCTTTTTGCTGGCTAATCACCCAGCATGGCCTAAGTGCTCATTATGTTGTAGAGAGGGCCTTTGGAGCTCTCATTACATTTGACAGGAATTCTCTCTAGGGGGAAACTGGGCATTAGACAGACTCCTGACAGACTGAAATTATTCCTGCTTTATGGCTTATAACAAAATGCTAGCAATGCATCATCAGGGGGTATGAAGAACTGTCATTTCTGACAACATCTTTGTTACTGAAAAATGCAGTGTTAAGAACTTTCCACTGAACAAGCCTTAGTATTCTTAAGGCCTTACCTCCTGTGTGGATGCGACACTTGCTCTGTGTGAAGCCCTTCAAGTGACTGGGTGGCTGTTTTTAAAAACAAAAAAATATACTGCAGCCATGTTACTTTATGCAGTGTGCTGTGTGGATCATTGTTAAAGTAGAGTCACTTGGATAAAATGATGCAATTGTAGTTTGCCTGTTCATGAAAGGGTTGATTTCTTGTACTGATACAGTTGCATCAACAGTTCCTTCTGCATTTAATTTGGCTGAAATAAAATTAGGACTTGAATGCTGCTATAAGCAGACTTAATTGAGGTGAACTTTCCATACACAAACAGCTACGTTACAAAGCTTTCCCCTTGAATATGTTGCATCTGAGTCAAGAAATGACTCTGTTAAGGCTCCCTTCACAACTTTAAATTTACCACTTTGCAGTGTTTAATTGCATAAATCCAGATACTTTTGCTGCGTTTAACCACTGTCCAGCCAGCAGGATGAGGGAGTAAATAATCTTTTTGGAGTATTTTTGTCTTGTGTGTGTGGGGTTTGGTTTTGGGGTTTTTTTTTTTTTTTTGAGTTTCAAAGGTTCTAAAGAGAATATTGTGTGTATGTTATTTTACTGTTTCCAGACATTAACTCTTCAGGTTTTTGAAAGTAAGTAATGTTTGCATATCTGAAATGGAGACAAGCACCTGAGGATGTTTAGGATAGGTGCATGTGATTCAGATATCATTTTCATATGCATCAAGAAATCGTAATGAATAGGGACATTTTGTGTGGTCTTAAATTCCCCTTCTGCATTATTTTGTCCCAGTCAGATTTTCCCATTGTGAGAGCTGTGACTAGCAAAGCAGTTGCAGCAACTGCTAGTGCCAAGATGTTGCATCTGTTGGGTGTTTAAAAATCCTACTGTACTTAAGGGTTGCTGCCCTTGGCTATTAGGGCAGTGCCTCTTTATTTTCACCAACAATGTCTGTCATCTTCTGTCATAAGTCAGAAGATAAGACTTTCTGTGTGTTTAATGCCCAGATTGTTTAGGTGCAAGATTAGCTTTTGTTCAGTGGCAGGCAGCCGAAGAAAGAAAAATTCATTGTTGCTGAACTAACTGACAGACTACATAAACTACTACAGTATTTGTTTCTACTGTCCTAAAAGTGACAGGTAGATGGTCTTCTCTTTGGGCAGATTATTGTGATCTTTGTGACCTGTCTTGAGGCAAACCTGTCATTCAGTACCTTGTCTCTTGTAGAAAAGTATTAATAATACAAAATCCTAAATTGTATTAACCAATTGTACAAGAGTTAAATAATCCAAACTAAAACAGATATTTTGTAGAATCATTTCTAATGTTCTACATGCAAGGCCCAAATGTTCTTCTGGTATCTCATTAGAACATTGGTCTCTAGGAGTGGGTTAAATAGAAGGGAATTAAGAAGCTTAGTTAGCTCTCTATACCTCCTTAATAGGATGGTATTATCATTGAAAGGAATTTAAAGATGTTTTTTCTTTTTGCCTTTTTTCTACTTGTATTTTAATTATTGGAATTAAGAACTTCATGAATCCTAAAGGTTTTGATGCTGTGTAATGAGTGTTTCAAGAAGCTTTTAGAGTTAGCTCTTGCCTATAAGACATGCAGAACCTGTTTTTTATTTAAAAGGGTAAATGCCAAGATTGATTGGGATGTAATGTTTTCCCTCAAAAATTGTATTTACTGTACAAATATTGGATTTCTAAATGAGTACCACTGGATCACCAATACTGCTGTTACAGCCACAAATACAGTTGCCAGTATGAGCAAGGAGGAAAGACCAGAGTAATGATCTCAACTCTCTTAATTTTTGAACCACATTCAAGTCTGAGACTGACTTCATTAGGGAGTTACCTGACAGATCCCAGGGCACTGCAGGAAATATGTCTCCATGCAGCTTTTATATAATAGATACTATCTAACAATATGGTTATCTTAGACTTTAGATTCACTTTATATACAACTTAATCCAAAAAAAAAAATCATAGTATATTGTG